TTTCTTTCTTTTTCTCTTTTTTTTTTTTTTGAGATGGAGTCTCCCTCTGTTGCCCAGGCTGGAGTGCAGTGGCACGATCTTGGCTTACTGCAACCTCCGCCTCCCAGGTTCAAGTGATTCTCCTGCCTCAGCCTCCTGAGTAGCTGGGATTACAGGCATGTGCCACCAAGCCTGATTAAATTTTGTATTTTTAGTAGAGACAGGGTTTTGCCATTCTGGCCAGGCTGGTTTCAAACTCCTGGCCTTGTGATCTGCCTGCCTCGACCTCCCAAAGTGCTGGGATTACAGGCGTGAGCCACCGCACCCAGCCTTTCAACTACTTTCATACTAGTCTTGTGAATACGAGTGCACACAAATGCTGGGAGAAGCCTAGAGAGGTCTAAAACATACTGCATAGTAGCCACAAGTGCAGCAAAATCAAAAACCGTGAGAAATGTAAATAATATCAATAAGCAGGCCGGGCGCGGTGGCTCAAGCCTGTAATCCCAGCACTTTGGGAGGCCGAGGCGGGTGGATCACGAGGTCAAGAGATCGAGACCATCCTGGTCAACATGGTGAAACCCTGTCTCTACTAAAAATACAAAACATTAGCTGGGCATGGTGGCGTGTGCCTGTAATCCCAGCTACTCAGGAGGCTGAGGCAGGAGAATTGCCTGAACCCGGGAGGCGGAGATTGCGGTGAGCCGAGATCGCGCCATTGCACTCCAGCCTGGGTAACATGAGTGAAACTCCGTCTCAAAAAAAAAAAAAAAAATCAATAAGCATATAAAGAAAAATTAATTAATATAGACCAGGAAATTGTAAACTGAAAAATAAGGCATGATACAAAGTATATGTTGATTTCCTTCTATGTGAAGAAAATGTTTACACTCAGGCCGCTAATTATTTTTCAGATTTGCCTGGAATTAAAGTAGATGCACAAGAATTTAGTCAAACGGTAGCCTGATGTATGATGAAACAAATCCAGGGTTAAGAATCGGAGGACATGGATTTGGAACCAGTTTTGCCATGCATTGGCCCTGTGACAACATGCAAATTACTTTAAAACTCTGGTTCTCAATCCATGAAGTAGGGACAATAATGCCTACACCACAGAGTAGATGTCAGAGCTAAATGATATAATTTCTGTGAAAACATTTTAAAATTACAGTTTGCTATTAATATTATACATACATTCTAAATACATATTATGTAACAAACCAGAATTTAATTGTGCTCATTTGAGTCAGGAAGTTTCATTAGAGTTAGTTGAAAATAGGCTGGTATTAAGATGGTATGATATTTTAAAGTTAAAAGATTTATAAGTAATGCTTGATTTGAAATGAGATTACTAAAATCTCACCTTTGAAAAAAGGACAGTCACCAACTGAGCATTAATTTGAAAGAAAAGAGAAAAAAAGTCAGCCAAAAAATTGAAAACAAAAGTGAAGGATGTCATTGCCTAATAAGAATAAGAAAAAGTAGGTATGGAGTAAACATAATTCCCAAACAGACTAATTTTTTTATTTTTTAGATGGAGTCTTGCTCTGTCACCCAGGTTGGAGTGCAGTGGCTCATCTTGGCTCACTGCAACCTCTGCCTCCTGAGTTCAAGGAATTCCCTGCTCCAGCCTCCTCAGTAGCTGGGATTACAGGTGCCCACCACTATGCCTGGCTAATTTTTGTATTTTTAGTAGAGATGGAGTTCCACCATATTGGTCAGGCTGGTCTTGAACTCCTGACCTCATGATCCACCTGCCTCGGCCTCCCAAAGTGCTGGGATTGCAGGTGTGAGCCACCGCACCTGGCCCCTAATATTTTTAAAAGATAATGTGGATTTTTCAGGTGGAGGTGCTTAAAGAATACTAGTATAACACATAAAAACTAACTCTATAGAATGGAAATGTGCTGAATGTATTCTAAGTAGGGAAAAAGAAAAGAAAAATAAGACAAAAAAGACGTGAGAAAAAGGAAATAGAAGCAACAATATAAAAGATACAACACAATAATGTGATGTTTAGATGGAAGGGAAGGGACCAAACCAATTTGTGGGGGGAAAAAAGAAATCATGTAATGGATAAAGGGAACACCTGAAGTGGGATGTAAGTTCAAGGGCACCCCATTTAGGATGTAAATGTATTATCTCCAGCTGAGCCATCTGTACTTGGGTGACTTTTGTTTTGCAAATCCTTCCTAGAAGAAGGTTCTAATCACTTTAAATGAGTAGTAGTAAAAAGTTCAGAGGTTACAGCTAAAAATAAAAGCCAGCAAGCTCAGGCTTCTGAAAAGTTTGCTCTGTCATAAAGTCTCAAAAGTTTTTTTAAAAACAAGTGGCATGACTTGATTTAAAAGCTGCCTGGTGATTTCAATGACATTTAGCAAAATTAAAAAAAAAAATGTATGCTTTGCTGTAAAGCAATAAAGTGTGCAAGACTGTGCATGGGAAGAACTGGGTGAACTCTCATAATCCTCGCCTGTGATTCAGGTGCAAACACTTGTGGTCAGGTTTGTAGTTGAGAGGGTGTGATGCAAATATGTTTGCTTTTATGTTTTTAGAGTGTTAACTCTCCTATGCACCACACAACACGAGACAGCAGCACATTGTTTAAACTCCATAATAAAATTTTTCTGATACATGTTCAGTGTGAAGATGCCATAATTTTCTGCTGATAGAATTTTGATGTATGACCAAAATAATACGCTTGTTTATTCTTTCCAAACCAGAGAGGAAGAGTTGAACAAAGATTTTGAATTTAAAGAAGGAAATAGTCAATGCATTCCTATTAGAAATAAATATAATCCTCCTAAAGAACAGATTTGAACAAAGATTCACATAAAAATGAAGGATTTATTTCAGGGAGAATGAGAGAACTCCATTTCAAAGCTTCTACCTAGCTGCTACAGAAAACATCAAGGGGAGGCTTATCTGGTCTATCTGATTGAATGTGCAGATACCGTATTGTTGCTGAAATGGAGATTATCTTTTGAACGCTATTTATTACACCAGCAAAACTTATTCACTGACTAACCAAGGTGGAGTCAGATCTTGCAAGTTTCTTAGCCACAAAGAGTAATACAAAGATGCAAACATAAAAAGTAACATGAGGCCAGATACAGGGGCATTGCATTCGCAGCCCAAGTGGCAGAAAAGTTGGCCGATACAATAGAATCTTTTATTATAGTTTGTTTGTCTAAGAGAAATAAAGCAGGAAGGCATCTTCAGGAGGACCGGGAAGGAATTGAACTGTTCGCTCAGCAGTTCTGCAATATATCTGAAATCTCTGGGTTAAAAAGAAAGATAGTTCTATTTGTTCATGTGGGATGGAAAGAATGGCAGAGCTTTTTCTAATACTTGGGAAAAGATGTTAGGAGAAGTTGGGGCAGAAAGGGTGGAGGTGGGATAAGACAAAGCACATTCTTAGCATTGAAGGATATATCAACTGCACACCAATAAAGTGCATGTCCCAGTACGTGCTCCACCTAAGGAGGGCACATTACTGCTCAGATAAAAACTTTTGTGATGAGCGAATGTTTAGAACCAATTCCCTGAAACTCTACAGAGAACTCTCTGACATGGACCTGAATGTGACTTACCTGAGCACAACAGTTAGTGCTAGAGCTCAAAGTATTGTACAGATTGGTTAAATAAGATAGAGATGAGGGAAGTGAAGCTGGAGCTGGAGAGGACTTAGAGGGGCACAGGGATGGTGATGGTGGGAGCAGCAAAGTAGCCAGAGAAACCAAAGTTCACCAGAGTAACAGACGTGAACATTAAATGGGATGACATGCAGCCATGGTAGATCCTTAATAATTATTTGTGGAAAGAGGGAAGGAAGCGACAGGACCTCCAGGTATGGTGATGGGCTGTACCAGATCTAGGACTGACCTACTAAGTCCCCAGCACTATGCAAAGATGTGTGTGTGTGTGTGTGTGTGTGTAATTCTTACAGGAACCCTATGGTCTAGATGGTATTTTCCATGTTGTGGATAAAGAAACTGAAACTCAGAGAAATTATGTTACTTGTAGAAGATCTCCCACCTAAATATTGAAGGCAGAGTTCTAATTTACATCAGATCTACTTCAAAAGTATACTATTAAAAACAATTGAGGGAAGCAAAATTTATATAAAAAATAGATCAATAAATACAATTTATTGTTTGTTTTCTTAAAAATTTTCTCACATTACACTGCTTTTAGGTAATAGAGCCATTTATGGCATGCCTGGGGCACTAAGGGTTTGTACAATTGAAAAGAATAAAATCTGTCCTGAAATAACAAAATGAAAAGGTGTTGCTTTTTTTTTTTTTTTTTTTTTTTTTTGGAGATGTAGTCTAGCTCTTTCACACAGGCTGGAGTGCAGTGGCGCTATCTCAGCTCACTGCAACCTCTGCCTCCTGGGTTCCAGCGATTCTCCTGCCTCAGTCTTCCGAGTAGCTGGGATTATAGGCACACACCACTATGCCCAGCTACTTTTTGTAATTTTAGCAGACATGGGATCTCTCCATGTTGGCCAGGCTGGTTCCAACTCCTGACCTCAGGCGATCCACCCACCTCTGCCTCACAAAGTGCTGGAATTACAGGCACTGCTTTTTTCGGTGCTGCTTTTTAAAGTAAGGCTGCTGTCTTTCTGCAGTGGTCAACTTACCATAATAAGCAACTACACAAAGGAGTTTTCAAAGGAGGCAAAAAGGTATGGATGTGGCTAAATAAATCCCAATGCACAAACTACCAAAAATGAGAAGTGTAAAACCTGTTTACAATGAGTTGTAAAAGACTAGTACAGCTGAATACTTCTGGGGCAGAAGTACTAGCTTAGCCAAATTATACCAGTCCTGATCTTGATGATGATTATAAAAAGTGGTTCTTATCCATAATTCAGCGCAATCATAGGACTGAAAAAATTGAAAATTTAGGTTGAAAGTAAATAGGTCACATTTGCTGGATAAATTTTAAGTTAGACGACTGAGCTCAAGATAAACACGTCAGGGTCTATCTGTTACCTGGCTCTCAGCAATCTTCAAAGGATTACCAATGGACTCAATGAAAGAGCAAGGTACTAGTTCAGATTACTGTTGTCTTGGTTTTCACCTTAAATTATTTGCTCTCTGTAGATCTCAATTCACTTTTTTTTTTGTAATTCAGATTATATTATCTGCATTTATACAATATCTTAACGAAGAAGTTAAAATAGCCAGTTAAATATATAAAGAAAAGTGCTACTCTGAGCTCATTTTCATCTATAAAAGAGGGAAACTGTAGAATATGTTTGATGATGAGTCATTTATATATTATAAAGTTTGTTTATTTGAAAATATATTAGATTTTTAAAAGTATTACGGAAAGCATTGCTAATGAAAAAGCATTGCTTGTTAGGAATTTCACCTCAGCCATAGAATTGATACCATAGAGATCCAAAAAGAGTGCTGGGTTTCTGGCTAAGGACAGCTGGTGAGCAATGTCAAAGTTGGATGTGCTGGTAGAAACCTTATTAGACAGAGAATTAGAAAAGTGGACACATCATTGATTTGGCTATTGAATAGATGTGTGGCTTCAGCAGTGTGACTCCATTTTTGAGTGCCTCTTATCTTTTTTTCAAACCTGCATGACAATAATCCCTTCATATTTTATATTAGTATTATCAAAGCTTACGATGTTTCTAAAAGAAGCAAGGACACTTGCTGCAATCTGACCATTGTTTTAAATTAGTTCCATACAATTTTTCTTGGACAGGTGTCTAAGTTAATTTTATTAACTTAGCTTTATTTCATTTCCTCTGTTAAAAGAAAATGCATTTATCCTTTCTTTTATTACCACTTATGTCCTGCCCCTAAGGATCTCTTGACACTTAAACACCTTCCAGGCTGGGTGTGGCTGCTCACAACTGTAATCTCAGGGTTTTGGGAGGCCAAGGCAGGAGGATCGCTTGAGAACAAGACTACGAGGTCAGCCCCATCTCTACAAAAAAATACCTAAAATTTAGCTGGGTGTGTTTGTGCCTGCCTGTAATCCTAGCTACTTGAGAGGCTGAGGCAAGACGATTGCTTGAGCCCAGAAGTTTGAGGCTGCAGTGAGTTAGAATCATGCCACTGCACTCCAGGCTGGATGACAGAGCAAGATCCTGTCTCGGGGTGGGGGGGGGGGCGGGGGGAAGACACCTTCCAGCAATGGTTGAACTTTGATTCTCCCATCCATCCATGTGTAGTCAACATGTAATGGATTCGACATTGATCCATGTGTATTCAACATGTGTTGGATGCCTACAGCATACAAAGGCCGTGCCAGGTGCTGGGCTTTACACCATTTCAGTTGTGGCACATGCAGATTGAAAGCCGCATGGTTAAAACTTATGCCCAGCGTATTGAAAAGCAAAGCTGACAGTGGCAGATACTCTTGACCTACTCTTCTAAACCCTGGGAGTGTTTGACAGCAAGCCCATGGCTCAATCTATTCCTTTTCCAGTTGTCTTCTGAGCCCGCTTCTATGTATTATACTTGAGCATGCCTGACTGATCCTGAGATTAAGTTGGCTTACATGGAATCTTAAAGGGCTAGACCTCCCTTTATTTACCATGTATCAGAGAGAACCTTGATGGCTTCCCCAGAATAAACTATAATTTCATAAGTTGTTCAGTTGGAGAAGGAAAACCCTATTTACCAGGATAATCCCTTCCCACTCTACACCCTAAAGCAGAGAGAAAGCTAAATTGGATGATTTTTTCACATTTCTCATATGATTGCATTCTTAAATAAGACAACCCTTAGGGTGAGAAAAATGAGCAAATTTTCTATAGATAAAAATAACCTGTTGAATGACATTTCATGAAATTGTCTACTTCCATAGGTTTTCCAGTGATTCCCTAGTCTCCATTCCAGCAGGCACCATGTGAAATTTGTCAAAATGTCTTACCTTGTCGTTGCTTTTCCACACAGTGGGAAATATTGAAGATCAGTGATATAACCAAAGCCAAGCCCAAGAATGCTAGAAGTCCCCAGAGGAAAAAGGGGCACCCAGAGTTCCCTGGAAATTAAAATAAACATACCCATAATATAATAGCTGCTTATCTATTTGTTTTGGTCTGGCTGTTGCCACAGTTAAAGCTGTTGCATTTATTCATAACAAAGGACAAATTCTCTACCAGGAAATTAATTAATATTCATAACTTTTCAGTTTTCAAAGTGGGTGTTGGTGTTAAGCCACTGAATTCAGCATGGGCAGGATTCAAGTTTCTCACATTCGAGTGTTTATGGAATGAAAGACTTTTTGTTTAGCTATTGAGAGGTGATAAGTGGTGACTGATAAACTTTTGTTAGAAAATCAAGAACATTCAGATTACCGAGAATTTTAATTTGCTATACTTTTCACCTTCCTTTAATCCTCAGACTGTAATCACACATGCTTTTCTTATTTACAGAAAATTGCCTGTTCCCTTCCACCAATCTCAGTAGTACAGAATATGATGTGTTGGGATAAAATAATTCTGGAGCCTAGTTTTGTTAATATTGGCCACAGGGGGCTTTTCTCGTACTATGTAGAGCTCCATGAATGTATTGTGGAAAGTTAATTACACTTCTCTTTCTCCTAGGCCTACGCAAAGTCAGAAAAATCAATATTACTATCTTCCATCCCCACATCTTATCCCACTAGGGGAAATGTCACACTTGGAGGGGTCATCTCCTATAATAGCAATGTCTCCTGGAATACCTCCTGAAGGACCTACCTGAAGCTGTTTTACAGTTAATTTTTTTTATAAGTACAAGAAGTATACTCTAAGATAACGATAATAGCATAGTATAGTAAATATATGAACTAGTAATATAGTCATTTATTATCATTACCAAGTATTCTGTACATAATTGTGTGTGCTCTAGCTTTCTGCAAGTAACAGCACAGTAGGTCTGTTTACACCAGCATCACCATAAACATATGAGTAATGAATTGCATTATGACATTCCAACAGTTATGTCACTAAAGGATAAAAATTTTTCAGCCCCTTTATAATCTTATGTGGTCAATCATCGACCAAAACATTGGGGGGTGTGTGTGTGTGTTGTGTGTGTTGTGTTGTATGTATGTGTGTTTGAGATGGAGTCTTGTGCTTTCACCCAAGCTGGAGCGCAGTGGTGCAATCCTGGCTCACTACAACCTCCACCTCCCAGGTTCAGGCAATTCTCCCGTCTCAGCCTCCTGAGTAGCTGGGATTACAGGCATGGGCCACCACACCTGGATAATTTTTGTGTTTTTGGTAGAGACAGAGTTTCACCATGTTGGCCAGGCTGGTCTCTAACCCTGTACCTTGTGATCCTCCCACCTCGGCCTTCCAAAGTGCTGGGATTACAGGCTTGAGACACACCACCTGGCCCTTCCAAAACATTGTTATACAGCACATGACTGTACATTGTGCAATGACAATTATATAATATAGTATAGAACAACTTCCCTAAGAACACATTTTATTGTTAATTTATTATAGAGTTGACCAGGGAGTTGCATTTGTTAAAATTAAGCATTTAATGGATGCATTAATAATTTACCTTGGACCAAATTGGACTTGTAACCCTGCTTTAGAAATAGTCTAAGCTACAATTATTGCACCCAATTTCTATGGCATATACTTTGGGACCCTGATCATTAAATGCTGAAAGGATGAGAAATTGATTTTGGAAAGATTATTTTGACCTTGCCTGTGTGAAACTACCTGGATCTACCCATGAATGAAAGTAAAATAGACTTTGATGACTTTCTATTCTGGGATATGTCCCAGTTGTGTTTTCAAAATTTCTTAGTGGAATATCAAGACTGCTTCCATGTCACCGACCATTAAAGCAAACAATCTGCCCTAAAATGGCAACAGAGTTGAACTTCATGTTGTAGTCAGAAAATAAAATCTAAAATTCTCTGTTGCTCTTTCTTATTTGGTCCATTTTCCACATTTGGGCCTTTGTTCTCAGGACAAAATAAAACATATTTTAAGAAAAAGAACCAGCTGTATGAAACTCTCCATGGAATGTATTAATTTCAGGGACACTATGAACTGGATGATATTATTTAATACGTCATATGGTGCCTCAAGTCTAAAGGCATGGGGATTTCCTTAAGAACTGGTACATTTTGCTGTTATATCCCATGTGAATATTGTACTTGATCATCTGTCTGTCTTTGATACACAATCTACTTTAAGCAAATATCCAGAACTTTATGATACTTAGATTTTTTTTGTGAACTGATGGCATCCTTTTCTCCTGTTTTCCCCCCACCCTGACTTATTGGTTATCTTTTATACTCTTACACTTATTTCTAATACCCTTCTTTCTGGGGGAGGGACAAATAAATACACGGAAAATAATAATGAATCTCTAGCACTTATCGCCCTTGGGAACACTAATAAAAATCAATCTCTTTTCTACTTTTTTCCATTTTCCGCAGCATGTAGTATTTAGTATACATTCCATATGGAGTTATGGTTCCAGTAAATAAAATATAGTACAGTATAAACAGTCATACTTCAAGGAAGTAAACAGAAAGCCCTAATCTTATATTTTAAATTACAGTGAATTTAGCTATAAATCATCCTATCATTTGGACAAAATCATATTTCAAATAGAAGTTTTGCTTTCTCCTTTCCAATTAAAGAGAATTGGAATAGTTGTATTGGTCCATTAATTGATATAAGAAGATAATTTGACTCTCAGCTACAAAGAAACAACCTAATCAATATCATAAGCCTATATTCTACACTAAAAGCTTTTGGGAAAGTCCTAATAGTTTTTATGAAATATGTCAGAAACACTAAGGCAAGAACTTCGGTCACACTGCACGTTTCTTTAGGGTTGTGTTTTATCTTTTCCTGGTAGAATAAATTTGCCCCACATCATCACTTTGGAGTCCTTTTAAAACACAGTCTAAACTCTAATATGGGCTGGGTGTGGTGGCTCACGCCTGTAATCTCAGCACTGCAGGAGGCTGAAGCAGGTGGGTCACCTGAGGTGGGGAGTTCGATACCAGCCTGACCAACACAGAGAAACCCCATCTCTACTAAAAATACAAAAATTTAGCCAGGAGTTGTGGTGGGCACTTGTAATCCCAGCTAGGCATTACAGGTGAAGGCTGTAGGCAGGAGAATCACTTGAACCCAGGAGGTGGAGGTTGAGGTGAGCTGAAGTCAGGCCATTGCACTCCAGCCTGGACAACAAGAGCAAAACTGTCTTAAAATTAAATTAAAAAATTAAAATATTTGGGAGTAGTTTAGGTATGTGTGATGTAGTCTCACATGGTCTCTGGTTTCCTCTGCTTTTAGGGTCTATAATTCCTAACACTTCTATTTTTCAAGTTTTTTTTTAATAATATGATATAAATTTTAAACAGACTTAGAGGCTTTGTATTTTATGACATTCTAAGTATCTTTCATAATTTTTGGATTGTCCACAATACCCCCATTTTGAAAAACAACACACATGAGAAGAGTAGATACGTGAAGTAGATGGTGAAAATTTTCAACTTGAATTCAGATCTCTATAGATGTACACACACACACACACACACACACACACACACACACACACACGCTTGTGCGTTCTCTCTCTCTCTCTCTCTCTCTACCTCCCCTTACACAGTAATTCTAAATATTCAGTATAAAAATCTCCAAACCCCTGTGGGTATCTACTTAGTACAGACGGTGCCTCTTAGAATGTTGGATGCACAAAGTGCTTAAATTTTTTTGCCCAACAAGTGTAACCCTTAGTATCAATATTTATTAATTGTAATTACTTTCATTTATACAGCTTTTATCAATTTAAAAAAATCTCCCACACAATTTGAATTCAGCTATTTACACTGTTAAAAAGCCAAAGGCCTCAAGAAATTATCAGTGAGGCAATGGCAGCTAGGAAAATCATGATTTAAGTTTCTCTCTAGTTTCCAACTACCAGGGGCTAATAGTGGTGGATTTAATTATAAAACCTCTGACTCCCTTAAAGCCAACAGTAATTGGCAGGCACTGTCTTTAAAATTCACAATTGCATGTGCTCTGGAAGGAAACCCAGCTAAGCAAATATGTCTTTCTGCTGGCAGATTTGATTTACATAGAAGCCTTTACTTAAACAATTAACAACAGAAAAAGCAATGAATATAATGCCTTAATTGTTTCTACTTCAGGCTGTCTTTAACTGAGACAAGTGTGTGAGTTGATAGTCTATTACAGCATATAGCTTCTCTTAATGGCTTTCCTTGGCTTGTAAAGGCGAAGCAATGAACATCTCTTTGCATTCCATGAATGTGTATATTTATTTTAGACACCCAGAAGTCTCAATGGCAATATTATGATCCCCATGGGTATACTTACAAAATGAGTTTTCCTTACCATGGTGGTGGTTGATGCTAAATAAGACATATTCTTGATGATTTTTTGAATATGACGCATCATTACGCCCACAATCCCAACCACTACTATCCAGCCCCATCATCTCCCACAATAAAAGACATTCGAATCATGGATATTAACACAAGAGGGGGCTCTCAAGTCAGTTCCAGACTTTCAAGTAACTACCATGCCATTTTAAATGCAAATCTGAAATCCACTGACCTTAAATGTCTTTTATGAATAGGGGGTTATTTGAGAGGTAAATCGTATGTGTTGGGGAGTGGGTCCTGATGGAAAAAGAGAAAATAGCAAATAGTAGCTTTGGGATACCTATTTTCGAACTGTGGAAAAGGGAATGAGAGTAATCACTGGGTGTGTGGCAGGTTGTGTGCGAATCACTGAACCTCACTAAGCCAATTGTAAAACTGGAGTTCCTATGTTCCTCTGTGTTACGACTTGCTAGCACATTATTTCCCTCAACCAACACTTAATTTAATTGAAGAAAGTATAAATATGGGAGTGAGGTGGAGGGCAGAAGAGAGTAAATTATGATTCCTCCATTGCTAGACTCTTCATTGTTTTTATAATTACACGTTACCTGAGATTGGTAAACCTAAGAAATCCTACTGAGATTAAAGTGCTGCTGCAGATGAACCTCTTTCTCTGTATTTAGTGACTCCATTTATATATATTTTTATTGTTTCTTATTTGAGAAGCACCTTAGTAAGATGCTTTGAAGATGGCATGGTTGTGTGGAACCTTTTATCCAATAAATACTGTGACTATTATGTTTCTCTTAATGGTTCAAGAAGGTGGATTAATTTTATTATCTCTTCCCTTTAATTCGGGAATGCTGAGAAGATTGAGTTTAATCAAAAATGTCTGGAAAAGTGCCCAATAATGATTTCTTTTATCCACTAGCAACTTGTGGACATTTATTTTTTGGAGCTGTGATCTTTAATTGACAATCTTTCCGGGATTGACTTTTCTTAAGAAAACTGCCGAACTCATTGCCAAATATTACCTAAGTTAAATGGAGAGACATTGTCTGTGACCCATCTGAGTTTAAAAGATAATTTCGAGGTTAGTCCTACCTAGTCACTAAAAGAAAAGATTTCATTGTTCTCAAAAGGTGATGAGGCTCAAGAGAAGATAAAACTGGGTAAAGACAACAAGACCCCTTTTTTAAAAAAACAAAATGACAAGTAAACGAAATTGTGAATCATTATTTAAATTAATGATAGCCCAAAGGCATTGTTGTCAACATTTGATTGCACTGCTATTGATTTGATGTAAATGAAGAAACATAGCAGGAATATGTTCTGGTATCATAATACCAGAACATTATTTATGGCGCAGTGACTACAGGCATACAGGTAGGAAAAAAGAAAAGACCTGGGCTTTTATTTTCATACATAGTTTTACTTAACTAGAAATAATTTTTCTTTTGTGTGTTCAAATTTATCTTTTTTATTTTATCTAAATATAAAACTTTTTAATATAATTATACACACACACACACACACACACACACACCTATATCTATATCTATATTTTTTTTTTTTTTTTTTGAGATGGAGTCTCACTCTGTCACCAGGCTGGAGTACAGTGGTGTCATCTCGGCTCACTGCAACCTCTGCCTCCGAGGTTCAAGCTATTCCCATGCCTCAGCCTCCCAAGTAGCTAGGACTACAGGCATGTGCCACCATGCCTGGCTAATTTTTTGTATTTTAGTAGAGATGGGGTTTCACCACGTTGGCCAGGATGGTCTTGATCTCCTGACCTCATGATTTAACCGCCTCAGCCTCCCAAAGTGCTGGAATTACAGGCATGAGCCACTGTGCCTGGCCTATAATTATATTTTTTAATATAATTTTTTGTATTATAAAAAAACACAAAGTGATATAAACGATCATCTGATTCTCTTCTTTCATGTGAAATTTTGTTTTGTTTTGACTTTTAATACCTGTGAGGCTTTTAAATACTTTGTCTTTGCATGTCTTCCGTGAAACTGTAAAAGTTCTCAACTGATAATGGAGGAGCTCTTGTATTAAACTCAAAGGGGAAGTCTGAACTACAAAATGCTACGGAGAAAATGTTACTGTATCTCTTCTAAATTTAGAATTAATTAGTCCTGAAAATAGTTGAATGTCATATTCACTGTCTTTGGTCTTCCTATGCTTTCTGAGTTCCCCATCAGCTTCAGCTCATGGCAATTATACTTAGAAATGCTATGTTCATTGCTTGCAGAGCACTAGCAAAAATGGGACAACTAACTATTTTTGTTCTTTGCTAAACTGTGAACTGGGAAAAATAAGAGGCATGAAAATTCAATGTCGGCTTATGGTCTCTTTGTGATTTATCAAATTGATTGATTTTAAGATCCATCAAACAGAACAGTGGAAGCAAATTCACAGAGATTATAATATATAAAATCTTTACTCCATAAATGACATATACAAATTGGTATTAAAAGTATTATAAGCATAATTAAGCAAAAGATGTAATCAGACATTTCACAAATGATAGAATTAAAAACAGTTTAAAAATCCATGCAAAAATGTTTCACCTCGTTATAATCAAAGTAAGGCACATTAAACAATGAGTTAGCATGTTGCGCTTATGATATTAGTGAAGATTTTTAAAATGAGATCAGCCTGTGAAGAAGCCCTGCTAGAACAAGAAGAAATTGGCATCACTCTTGGAAAAGCAATTTGGCAATAATGAGACTTAAAATGCTCATAATCTCTTAGTAATTTCAATTCTAGAAAGTTTTTTTGAGAAAATAACCTTTAATACGGAAAAAGCATTGTTCATCTTTCTGTCATACAAAAGTATTTTAAAAAACTGTATACAACATAAATGTTCAGCAATAAACAAATGACTAAACCATAGCTGAATAGATGTCATTTTTGTGCATTCATTTAAAATCATTAGGCAGGCAGAAGTTAGATTAAAAAGGCACATGTTAGTGAAAAAAGTTGCATATATTATGTACATTATTATTGCAGTTATGAAAAGCAAACTAGAATGTATATAAATAAAAACTGAAAGGAAATATATATTTTGTGTTTTTAAGGTGGTAGAAAATATGCATGAATTTTTAATAATATTTCATAGTTCTCCCGCATTACATAATATGCACGTTTTCTCTTGCAACTAAAAGATGTTTATTTAAAAAATTAAAAGTACGTAAAAGAATACGGGAGGAATGAACCATCAACATAGATTCACAACAGCGAGTCAAATGGTTACAACCTTCATGATTAATCACACAGCAACTGAATTTTCACTGATAATTGATTGCTTTCTGGAAAATACTGTAGTGCCTAATCTCTGAGGAATTAGAATTACACCTATCCTGTTTAATAGCTAAACTAAACTAGAGAGAAAGGCCACAGACGCTTCTTTAAAAATAACGAGTACTTCACATGGCGTAATTATCAATGAACACTTACTAAAGAGCTGTAATTAGATTCACACTCTAAAACTGTCCACATTTTTCTTTCAAAAGAAAAACATCAATTTATACTCATTAACATATTTCAAAATATATTTTAATTACACTAAAAGTTATCCAACATTTAAAAAATAACTACTTTCTAAATACTAAGGGTCCTCTCATTAAGACTTACAAGTGAAGTGAATTTTTAGACATACAAATAGGACAAAAAATGTTAAGTGCCACTTACCTGACATGCTTCTTTTTTCAGAGAAATCCTTAACTAGCCATAAGACAATGTATAGATTAAAAATCCTCTCAAACTTATTTTCCTAGGTAATGTTGCTCTGTTATGTTAAGAGCAGCATGACAATAACACCTGTCTTTAGCTGTGCTTCAGACTTCTTTCTCTTCTGTTTCTTAAAATCTTTTGTGTGTACTGTTTCAGTTACAAACAGGAAATGTGGTGATGGAGGTGTCTCAAGTTTTGATCTGAAAACAATAGACTTTCATTGTGTAACGTGGGAAGAAAAATCCCACACGCCTTTGTAATCTGACATTTGAATTTTTGTCAATCCCTGATTCTAATTGAAAAATAAATCAATCAAGGTATGGATTAAACTAGGAAGGATCTTCCTATCTCTGGAGGGATTCCAGTTATCTCCTCACAAGTGAATTCACATGGAAACAAAGTAAGATACACTGGAATGATGAGTAAGTAGTAAGCAACCCCTGGGTGTGCTCAGTGATTGTATTTTCTTGAGCCATGATGGAGTACAGGGAATTAATATATTTTGAGCACTTAACGTGTATCAGTTGCCTTCTGTACATGATCTTACTGGGAGACTAGATGCCTGCTTTATTTCCTGACAATCCTCACCTTGTCAGCATGAGTTTCTCTTTCCAATCTAAAGCCACCTGACAATAATCTCCAGTTCTCAACTACCATCCCAGAGTCTTAATAGCAGCAGTTCTTACATGTTGGTGGACCTAAGTATGCTATGTGAATGCTAGTTTAAAATCCTGGACCCGTCTGAATCAGACTATCTGGGGTGAAGCAATAGAATCTGCATTTTAACAAGCAGATTTTCTGAGTGAATTTTAAATTACATATATTGAATATGGCAAAATATATTATTTTAAAATAGATGTTCTGGACAATGCTTTCGGAAACTCATATATGGAATAGAATCTATCTTATTCATTATTAAAATTTCATGACTCGAATTATGCACACCAGCACATCGTAGGTCTCAATAAATATGCTCAGTGATTGAACAAACAAAACAGTGAATGTCTTCTGCTTTACTTTTCCTCCATTATAGAAAACTCCCTAGTAAGCAAAGTACAGTGCATCTTATCCTTTGGACAAAGCTAGCTAAACACTAACAAATTTTTCCATTTCAATCACTTCCCCTCCAAAATATTTTTTTGGTGAGTCATTGACTCAGTGGCTGTAAGACTGAAAGAGACCTTGGAGATCCTCTGGTCTAATCTTTAAAAAGCATTTTAAAGTATGTTCCATAGAACACTCAGCCTTTAAGAGACTCAGAAGACGAATGTTTCTTCAACAAATATATTTGGAAAAACTACATAGTTTTATTTTTACCTCTATAGATACATATTATTTTTTTTTTTTGAGACGGAGTTTCGCTCTTGTTACCCAGGCTGGAGTGCAATGGCGTGATCTCGGCTCACCGCAACCTCCGCCTCCTGGGTTCAGGCAATTCTCCTGCCTCAGTCTCCTGAGTAGCTGGGATTACAGGCACGTGCCACCATGCCCAGCTAATTTTTTGTAGTTTTAGTAAAGATGGGGTTTCACCATGTTGACCAGGATGGTCTCGATCTCTTGACCTCGTGATCCACCCGCCTCGGCCTCCCAAAGTGCTGGGATTACAGGCTTGAGCCACCGCGCCCGGCCCTATAGATACATATTAAAGGCCTAGGTAAGTCCTGTGAAAAGGAAACCCAAATAATATTTTTATCAGAGTTTTTAAAAACTTATTTGGCCAGAGAACTCTTTGTTCAGCAGCTAACCATTAGCAGAGTAACAGGTTTTATGAAGCAGGCCTAGATGCTCACAGACCAAGACTTCAGGGAATAGCAGTCTCAGGCTCATGTAGGGATCAGAGGACAGCAAAGAATCAGAAGGCTTCATCCTAGAATTAGATGAAACATAGGAATGAAGACTGCTGAAAAGTTGAATCCCAGACAGTCAGAAAGGTTTGGGTACCTGAGACATCAGTTGGAGAGGAGAGGGCCTAGTTATGGCCTTGAGGAGTTGAGCTTTGGTCCTGAAAGAGGGTAACTGGTAAGAAAAGTAGAAGTCCTAGGCTCAAGCGAGAACTACAGAGGTTACCTAAGCAAGACCTTGCAATATGGGCAAAATAGATGCCCACAACTGGAGCATACAGAGGGCATTGGAAAGAGAAAGGGTTTCAAGACTGAAAATTTGGGTGCTAGCATTCCCTTGTTAGAACAAAAATATTGCAGAGGATGGGGAATTAAGGAAGAAGGATGCTTTCATCCTGGCTGACCCATAAAGCGCAATTCAAGAAAAAAAAATGGTGTTTAATTATTAGTGGCTGTGAATGCAGAGAAGGTCAACTCAGCAAGAATGACTCAGACAAAAATGCAGGAACTCTGTGGTTAGCTCAGAAGTACCTCTCGGAGCAGCCCAACAGGAAGTGAGACCCAAAGCAAACCCACCTGTCGGGAGAGGAGCTGTCTAAGGGCTTCCCTGCCTCAAGTGTAGACTTTACACACACAGCTGCAGGAAGCTGGGGAAGGCAAGAGCAGAAGAGACATAAGGAAGGATATGTCTTGCTTCAGAGAGAGCCTGAAGTACCTGTTGAGTGATTCCCTAATGGCTTAAAAGGGTTAATGTACATCCTCTGCATGATTGACATCTGTAAATGGTAAAAACTTTGGCTGCTAATCTGAATCACTTCACAGTTTCTAATTACTATAATATTTTTGAGAAGTGATCTTCATTACAGTGTTCCATTCCATAGATTTAAATAATCTATGGAGATATAACAAGATTGTCCAAGGTCACACAGGAAGTCCGTGCCTGCACATTAGATAACTCCATAGATGTTTGAAATTTGCCAGGAAAAAAAAAATAGCTTTTCATTAAATATAGATGGCTGAGCACATGGAGACATTATCAGAATATAAAAAAGCATATGGATATATGTTTTTTTATAAGACACATTAGTAAGTGCATTCAGAGATTTGAATGATGGCTTCATGAGCCATGTTTAAATAATAAATAAACACGAGGCCTCTGTAGTATTTTTTAATGAGATGGATTATCAAAATGGAATTTCAAAGATAGCTAGACTAAGCAGAAATGTCTCAACAAACTTAACGCAGTTAGAGATGTAGGAAATTTTGTGGGGAGGTTGTGATGGGTACCTGCCAAGAAATAAAAATATTAAGGCCAACAAAATTGAGGTTTTGTTGCCAAAAGAAAATGAAAAACATGTCAAAATGGCAGCTGCCATTCAGAGTTTCAGAAAAATGGGTCAGAGTGTAGAAAGAGGCCCCTTTTTTCAGGCTTCTTTTTAAATGATCATCTATCATTTTTATAATTAACCTTTATTACTATATTTTTTATATCTATGTGTGTGTATATATATTATATATATAGAGAGAGATAGTATGAAGGTTTTCAGACAGTTGAATAGGTGTAATAATTTACAAATGTATTTAGCTATTTAAATTACAGTAACATGCACGAGTGTTAGAATTTGAATAACAGATGTGTCCTTATTTTAAAGGCTCTTTATAATATGTTTTATTGAAACACTACTTACCTATCTGTACTTTTTCTTTATTCGGCTGAATTGCTGTTTAGTCATACTGAAGCTAGCACAACGTAAGCAAACAGCTTAATGAGAGAAAGGAGGGAAGGGGCCGCCTGTGCTGTTAATTTCACATGTGCAATGCTACTTTCACATGTGGAATTATTCAAAATTGATTATGAGGTTGCAATTGCATCTGATTAGGCTATATTAATATTTATATTTTCATTGAGTTTAGACTATAAGGTCCTCCAGAAAGCACAGTTATCCAGACAAAAAAGATAAAAGCACATTAAAAGCAATAGAACAATGTATAGACTTAGCATCAGATTTTTCTGTATTTTTATTACAAGCATCACGCCTTACAGAACCAGAGGTCTTAAAAATTAAACACTAAAAATCATAGATAGAAAAAGTTCAGAAACAGTAGAGAAAAATGTCTAATAGCAGATAGTCTGCTTTCCTACAAGTGAGAGGCTGAAGGACCCAGGTTTTCTAGAAGACAAAAATTTGCCCCATTTTACCATTTTCTTTTTGTTTGTTTGTTTTGTGTGTTTTATTTTTTATTTTAATTATATCTTAAGTTCTGGGGTACATATGCAGATCTTGCAGGATTGTTACATAGGTATACACATGCCATGGTAGTTTGCTGCCTCCATCCCCCCATCACCTACTTTAGGTATTTCTTCCAATGTTATCCCTCCCCAATCTTCCCACCCCCCCATAGTATTGGGAAAACCAGCTAGCCATGTGCAGAAAGCTGAAACCAGATCCCTTTCTTACACCTTATACAAAAATTAACTCCAGATGGATTAAAGATTTAAACATAAGATGTAACACCATAAAAATCCTAGAAGAAAACGTAGGCAATACTATTCAGGACATAGACATAGGCAAGGACTTCATGACTAAAACACCAAGAGCAATGGTAACAAAAGCCAAAATAGACAAATAGGATCTAATTACACTCCAGAGCTTCTGCACGGCAAAAGAAGCAATCATTACAGTGAACTGGCAACCAACAGAATGGGAAAAAATTTTTGCAATCTACCCATCTGACAAAAGGCTAATATCCAGAATCTACAAAGAACTAAAATTTACAAGAAAGAACCCCATCAAAAAGTGGGCAAAGGATATGAACAGACACTTCTCAAAAGAAGACATTTATGCAGCCAACAAACATATGAAAAAATGCTCATCATCACTGGTTGTTAGAGAATGCTAATCAAAACCACGTTGAGATACCATCTTATGCCAGTTAGAATGGCGATCATTAAAAAATCAGGAGACAACAGATGCTGGAGAGGATGTGGAGAAATAAGAATGCTTTAACCCTGTTGGTGGAAGTGCAAACTAATTCAACCATTGTGGAAGACAGTGTGGCGATTCCTCAAGGATCTAGAAATAGAAATATCATTTGACCCAGCCATCCCATTACTGGGTATATACCCAAAGGATTATAAATTGTTCTATTATAAAGACATATGCACATGTATGTTCACTGTAGCACTGTTTCTAGGTAAATAGTTAACATGTTCACTGTGGAACATGTTCACTGTTTACCTGGAAACAGCAAAGACCTGGAACCAACCCAAATGCTCATCATTGATAGACTGGATAAAGAAAATGTGGCACATATAAACAATGGAATACAATGTAGCCGTAAA